GATTTCCAAGTGCCAAGTGGTAATTTAAGGTACAAATACACATCCTGTTGAAACAGATTTTTGAAAGGTTGCTGGATTTGATAACATCAAGGAAAGGGTGGAAGGGTGGTTCTGATGTGGGCTTCTCCAGAGGACTGGTTTTTATGGCCTGATGTTTTATATGATGACCTGAATTTTTTTTTTAGAAGTGTGGAGGCACAAACAGATACTGGCCTCTTTTGGCAATTTTGCCTGGTATTTAGGTCTTGTGGGAAATACTAGCCTGCCTCATGGCACAAAGCCAACTTTGGTGGGAAGTCTAGAGAAGAATTCAATTCTGCTGTTTCCCAGAATAGTTGTTGACAAACTCAACAGTATTGAAGTGTTACATGTGTCTTTGTGGCCTCCAGAGTCCAGCGAGATGAGGACATGAGACCAACAAGGGTCAGTGTTTCTGGGAAGATAATGTTGGTTCTTAGAATATTTTTCTCACGAACTTGTAAATTTTTTAAAACAAACTTCATAACTCATTTTAGAAGAGAATGAGAGAATGTATACCACCACCACCCCCTTCCCTCTGGAAGCATTTAGATTTTCAGAAAACAGTCACTTCTGTTTGATGACCATGACTTCAAATACCCTTCCTGCCAGACTGTTGGTGACTTATGAAATAACAACTGATTTCAGGGACATTCCCTTAGACTGTGAGTTCCTGCGGGTTCTCTGTTTTATAATTGGATGCAATTAGACACAGAAAGGGGCTTTTATTTGAAAGATTAAATCGAAACTCAGACACTAATAAGTATGTAACTTCTGTGCTCTCAAGAGACTTTACTGTGAAATCGCCACATAGACAGAATATTTCACATGCTTTTCAGCAGCAAATGACCTTCAAAGTTCTTCAGTAACTGCAAATAAGAAAACGGTCCCCGATATGTGAGTCCACCTCCTTTAAATATAGACCACTTGTTCTTGACATCTCAGATGTGACTCTTACTGCCAGGCTAGAATTTAGGCTGTGCGATAATACTCAGCTGTTCTACAATGCCTACTTCTTGAAAGAAGTCGGCGCTATATAGAATAGTTAAACAACCCTGCTTACTTTGAAGAACTATTTGTAACTCAAATTGGTTTTTCTAAGGTTAAAATAAGTTGCCTCTTATGAAGATTAAATGAGATAGTCCATGCAAAGGCTGGATACATGTTATCATTAACGATCATAGTAGGTATATTTTGAAGTACAAACTTTTACAACCCAAATGTGTCTTATGAAAAATATTCCTAAATATTTACGTTTTACACTATTGATGAATAACACAAGTGCAGAAAACAATGTGTTTTCCTCTTTCAAAACAGAATGTGTCTATTATTGAAACATTAGAAATAAAATTGTGTTCTAAGATTAAAGCAGCAACACTCAGATTCCTAATCTTAGCAGTTTTATGTAATTCAATCTGTTCTTCTATCTGATTGAGAAAGAATAAATGTTGTAGTTATATCTACACAGAACTTTTTTTCCTAGAAGCTCAAGTGTTTATGCATACTCATTATAAAAACCAAACCAAACTCACTGCTACCAAGTCGATTCTGACTCATAGTGACCCCCTTTGGGTTTCTGAGGCGATAAATCTTTAGGGAAGTAGATCGCCCAGTCTTCCTTCCATGGAGTGGCTCGTGGGTTTGAACCACCAACCTCTGGTTAGCAGTCAAATGACTGCACCACCAGAGCTCCTTATACTCATTATAGCACAACATTGCTATCACGAAGAGAGTTGTACGTAATTTAGGGAAAACTCATGGAAAAAGAGATTTGCTTAAGGTCCTGCAGTAAGTCAATAATTGTGATAATAACATTTAGTTTATATTCTGGCAATATAAACTAGGCATCTAACATAACAGAGACACTCAGTAAATGATCATTGCTATTATGATGATGATGTACACTTAACTTCATAGGGGCTCAACCTAGAATTAAACTAACAAAAGACAAAGAGAGAGAATGTGTTAAAAGTAAAAAAAAAATTGCCCCCCAAAGCCACACAACCAGCCAACAAATTAACCAACCAATCACCACCACAACAAAGCTAACAACCCCCAGATTGTGAAAGATGCCTAGGGGAAGGAAAGCTGATGTCATGAGTTCTAACTCTTCCACCTGCCACACTGACATGGCTTCCATAGCCCCAGTGTGAAAGGTGGTAAATAGAATTAAATCTGCATACAAGTTCTTAGAGGGATCCCTGATGGGGAAGAAGAGGAAAGAAAATCCCCATTACTCCTGGGAGCTAGCTAGTCCTTCTCTCTCCCACTCTCCATATCCCTCAGGGTGAGGTCACACTATCTGTTGTGGGTAGAGTTTTGGAAGAATCCTATCCCTCTTCTATTAAGTGTGACTGTTTGGTACACACTGAGACCTATGACTCAATTCCCTGTCTAAGTAGTGGATGCTTTGCATGCCTGGCATGTCTCCTAGAACCTTTTTGGGAACCCCAAACAGTCTCAGAATGACTAGAAGACACAATTATACTAGTTAAGTCTTTAGTCATCAACTCCAAATAGTGGCTCAGTTAAGATCACCACCTGTCCAACAGGAAATGGGCTGAAAACACTTCTCATTCCTACATACCAGAAACCACTGGACAACTGGGAATACTTCTGGATCATTATCTTTCTAGTCTACATTTGAACTGATGATCTCAGATGGACTACCTGTGTATTCCATTATTGTTCTGCTAACACACGCCATGATTTAAATGCTATGTTAAGAATGCAAAATTATAAAAATTATCTTGCCTGCTTCACTTCAAAAAGCCTTTTTTTGGTTGTTCTATTTGAAAAGAATGCAAAATACACAACATTCAATGGATTTCCTTTGTAGGGAACAATGAAATAAAAATACTATTATGTAATGGATAGGTTGCTTTTTCCTTTATCCTGTATTAATGTTCCTAATTTATTTCCCAAAAATGCAAATAATAGCACAATACCTCCTGTGGTTGTAACCTCTAGGTAAATTGCCACCAAAGGCAATGGAAGATTTTCTAGAGAAATGCAGAAGAAGTCGCCTCGCTTCTCCTCCTTGTGTGTTGTTTTAGAAATACATAAAACTTGCATTTTTACAATGTATGGAGAAACAGACATGCTCAGAAAAGGAAATTCAGATACGATGGGAAGGAACATAAGAGAAATATCAGAGAAATGACCTGGATCAGAAAAGCTCATACAGGGAAGGTTTAAAAATATATGCATTCAACATATAAAGAAGAGAGTAAAATTTTAATAGGGTAGTGAAAAACATAGCAGATTGACAGTGACAGCAGAAAAGAACAGGAATACAGATATTTTCAGAGAATTAAAATGGTACTGTGTACCTTAAAACCAGGCAAGTTTTATGATAGGTCTCTAAGGTATTTCCTGTAAAGAGTAGATGGTTTTCCTTGGAGCTGTCATAAATTCTTTGTAGTTCTCTATATTAATTCATGTTGAGTATTTTCATGGCTGTTCTGACTCAGACTTAAAATAGATATGAGAAAGGTCTTCAAGTTTACTGTCAGTAACATCACAAACTTCATAGCCAGCTGGATGATGACATGGTGTGTAACCAATCCAAATTTACAAGGTAACCTTGCCTGTATCCTTCTGGTCCATCAAATATAAATAACAAAGTGAAGGTGCAAGAATAGAATTGAAAGGAACAGTGGAAGAAGCAGTCATCAAAAAAGCAAAACAAACATGGGAAAAAAATCTATGAAGTCATTCAGAAATGACCCTAATAATTACGTGTTCTCACACTACAGCCTCCACGCACATGGGTTCCTTGTGCTTCACAATCAGCCCCTGTAGTCAGTAACCCTTTAGGCCTCAATCATTCAGTTTCCCAAGGTAAAGTAATAGCCACGTATACTTTTATGTGCATCCTGCTCATTTTTTCATATATTACTGCATGGTATTATTGTACTCTACCACTTGCCTTAGCTGAGGAAAACAAACTAATGCTTTCATGGGCAACTGGAGATGTACTCACTCGCTTCATTCCTAAGAAAGTGGAGAAGGAGGACAGCAATAAATCCCTAAGGATAATTGTCCTCCTTGCCCTACTCCACTTACTGAAACAAGTCTTCTGAACAGCTAACATATGTAAAACATCTGGCAAAAAACCTAATATATAATAACCAAATCAGCTGTCATTGAACCGCTTGTCATTCATGGCAACCCCATGTGATCAGAGTAGAACTTTGCTCCATAGGGTTTCAGTGGCAGATTTTTTGGAGGTAGATCAGGTAGATCACCAGGCCTTTCTTCTCAGGTGCCTCTAGGTGGACAAGAACTGCCGACCTTTAGGCTAGTAGCTCAGTGCGTTTGCACTACCCAGGAATTTATATAATAAGTGCTCAGTAATTATCAATACCCTCCTTCTTACCTACCTCTTACTAAACTATGTACATTCCAACAATCTTTAGTGTACTCTCCGCAATATCAAACAGGTGGCTGAGGTTGACAGACCAGAGCTGATCCCTGTACTTGATAAATTTCTTATTCCCAAAACACTAATATTAGAGATAAAGCACTACTTAAAAATAAAATCTCAGTCAATACACGTTATATTTTGACTACCATTGAACCGCTTCATCATAGGCACACAGATGTTATGTTATATAAAGGCTGTGTCCTAATGTTTGATAACACTGATCATTGTCTGTCTTGTGGCTAACATATAAATCCTAAGAATCCTGCTTACTTAATATAATGGCACATGTCTATTTTGGGGTGCTCCCAAATTTTTTAAGTGTGCAAAGAAGATAAATATATTCTAAGTCAATCTGAGTTAGATTTTTGACTCATTAACATTATTATGCTCCTTGGACCCAGATTGGGAGGTGACATAACTGATATTAAGTAAGTTGAGGACTGGCTAGACATTCTTGGGGAGTCAAGTAACACAGCAAACAATTCATTTCAAGCAAAGTGGACACTCAGCTTCAGCTACTCGATTACTCTTCCACAACAGATGGTTTCCACACCTGAACTATGACACCACTTTTCTTGGCTGAGAACTTCGGCCTTGGTGCCACAAAATATGATGATGAAGCAGATTCTTGCTTTGGAGAGGTGGGAATGGCCACAGGCACTGGGGATGCCCTGACTGGTGAGGTGGCCTCTGCAAAGAAGGTAGACTGAGAGCTGTAGGCTGGGACTGAGTACACAGATGAAGGCTGCACATTAGTGGGAGAGCTAGCATTCATTGGCCTGGGAGGAAGTGCTTGCTTCAAGGCCGGCCCTGGATTGATCTTGACTGTTGACTTTTGGGGGAGGCCATCCTTTGCATCTGGAGGTTGGAAAGTAAACAGGGATGCATTGAGCTGATATGGTTGGTGCTTCATCACATCCAAGGCATTGAGGGGTTTCTTGCCCTTTTTCTTGCTTGGTTTGGAAGCCTGTGGGGCTGACGGCTGGGACTTGACAGCAGCAAGTGGGTAAGAGGGGGAGTGGATGGGATTGTAGGCCACAGGAGGAGGTGCTCGGACGTTGGAGGAATACTTCCAACTGGCTGGTAGAGATGGAGTAGGAGACTGAGCACGGGCAGCATGGGCCTGCACTGTGTCTGAATCGACTACATACTTCTCCATTCTTGACTGCCTTTTTGCAAAGAGCTGGGCTCCTTTCCCACTCATTCCTGGAAGCTCATTGGATGGTCCCACTGTACTAGCATGAGCAGCATTTACTGTTGGTGTAGGAGCTGTCAGCTTGGGTGTGTAATTCTGACTGGCTACTGCTGCTTGTGGTCCTTTGAAGGGACCAGCCACGTTCAGAGCACTTGCGGGCCGGGCAGGAGGGTAAGAAGGCTGGGCTATTTTGATGGAGGAAACAACAATGCCCTGGGATGGGTTTGATGTGGGGAAGGCAGGAGGTTGCGCTGGAGCCACTCCTGGAGACCAGACTGGAGAAACTGGAGTTACTGGTTGAGAGGATGAGGACTTAACTGCAGGTTTTGGAGCAACAGGCGGTGGGGTCTTTTGTTTAGCAGAGGAGCTTTGCATGAAATTGCAAGCCTCTGCTCCTAAGCTGAGGTAGTCTTCTTCAGGTCCAGAATCACCTGCAGCTCCAGTGCCCTTCTTGCCTTCTGAATTTTGAAGAAGTGACAAGAGTTCAGGATTTGGACTTACTTTGGGCTCCTTGAAGGTGAACATGGGTTTTGTTGTGCTTCTCCTTTTGGCCTCCTGCAATATTCCTGTTCTTTTTGCCGGCACTGCAATCCTCTCATCCCGGGAAGCTATTCGCTCAGATGAATCATAAAAGGCTGCCTGGGACCATGGGGCAGGCTGAGGCCATGGAGGTGGCTGTGCTGGGCCAGCTATTGGACTTGATACTCCTCTGGAGAAGGCTTCAGGTGGAGGAGTCACTGCAGAATAAGGGGGAGGTGCAGGAAAGTCAGCAATGGGACTTGCCATGTTTCGGGTTGGCGAGAACGGGGTTGCTGGCTGGTTCACAGACCCCGGAAAGGGTCTTGCCGTTCTGTTCATAGGGATCATCCTCTGGGCCTCTGCTGTCTCAGGCATCCCACTAAAGCCATTCTGTTGGGGTACATTGCCAAGACCATGGCTCACTTCAATGTAGCTTTTGCTCACAGAACTCTGCACTCTCACTGATTCTTCTTCCTTTTTCTGGTAGGAAGTCGTAGTTCTCAGGCCATGTGTCTGGGCAGCATCTGGTTCTCTGCTTGGCATTCCACTCATCCTCTCCTCCTCTTTTTGGGCTGCGATCTGATCCATTCTCTCCCTCCTTTTAGCGAACATGAGGGCTCCTTTGCCTGTGGTGTCTGGTAGCATCTCCATCTTGTCCCCTATGTTCAGTTTCTTCTCAATGTCCACCAGTCCAGAATCCCAGTCAAAGTTCACAACTTGTGTATTGTCGCCAACGTCAGACAACAACTCGTCATCCACCTCTGACTCGCTCGTGCCCAAAAATGTTACTTCACATATATCTTCTTTGTCACCTTCTTCCTCCTCGTCTGCCTCTCGCTCAAGCTCTCCAGTACCGTAGCTGACTAGAGTGTATTTCCTGGCCCTTCGACGTCGCTTCTTAAACATCAACACCCCCTTGGAATTGGGGTTGGGAGCATCTGTTAGAAGGAGGGCAATACTCTTGCATTTAGACTTAGCTTCTTTCACCTGCTTTTCTGACAGGCTTTCACTCCTTCTGAGACCTACAGAAGGTACAAAAATTATATTGAGTTGATCAGTTCAAAGAAGACTCCACAACAACCCAGAAACTGACTCACTGATTAAGTGTGTTTCTTTTTTTCTGTAATTCTTTTTCTATATCCATGGTGAAAATGAGTATGGAAAAATTATTCTTACAATTGGGAAGTGAATTTTGAAGGGATCCAATTAATTTCATTTTCCTATTTCTTTTAAAACTCATACTTGTAAAATACTACACAATGACATATATATATATATATGTCGCATTTCATTTGTCTATAAATACATTGTTTATATAGTGATTAGATTTTATGTTTCAAAAATTTGTTTCTCTATGGATCCTTATACTATAATTTAGCAATAAAAATTTGCCAGTAAATGCCAGTTAATAGGATGTAATTAAATTAAAAAGGAAATAATTCAAAGTCATAATATTTTTTGAAAAGCAAGTTAAAGCACATCTTGTACTTTGAAACAAAAGTATATCTTGTACTTCTACAAGGGGATAATAAAGTGTCAATATAAAACTGTTTCTAGGCATCTCAAGATGGGAGGGGTCCCAAGAAAATTTTGTTTATCTAGATGTTTTAATGTAATGGATTTAGATATTTGGGTTTTTTCTTTCTTTCTTTCTTTTATCTTTTCCTTTTTCCTTTGACAATCCTCCACACTCTTGGCATCCACAGCTACTAAATTAATATAAATTTTTAAATATTGAATTAATGATAATTGAAGGTACTAGATCAATACCAAAAAACTCCAAACTCACTGTCATCGAGTCAGATCCAACTCATAGCGACCCTCTTTGGGTTTCCGAGGCAGTATCTCTACGGAAGTAGATTGTCCAATCTTCCTTCCGAGGAGTGGCTGGTGGGTTTGAACCGCCAGCCTTTGATAATTAGTAAAAATTCAGAATACTAGATTATTAAGAAACTTAAGCTATAAAGTTAGACAAATTTGTTTTTAAATATATTGTTATCTTCGAAATATAATAGTACTTTAATTACAGCAACAGTATTTGTAAATCTTGGGGAAATTTAAAATACATATATAACTAGGGACTATGTGTAAACTGATGCAGAAATTATTAGGTCATTTAAGCTAGAATTCAATAGTTTTAAAATAACAAAAATTGATACTTAAGATTTTTACTTTATAATTATTACTATCAAAATAAAATTTGTTATTAATTTATAACATCAGTTAATTATAATCATAGCATGAATAATGGGCATGATTCACAAATAGTTTTGCATTCCTCAAATAATTAAAGAAGAATTTAAAAAAAAATTTCTTGAATATTTTAAAATAGAAAATTAGTTCTTTTTGCTACTGTAAAAAAACATCAGATTGGTTTATTAAAAATACATATAAATATAATCAGAGAAAATAATCTGACAATGAAGTTTCAGATACTCACTGGTGATCAAAATTTCTCATAGAGAAAATACTTAAAAATGTGGCCATGACAAAATGCAATGCCTTTTTGACTAGTGTTATGCAATTTATTACTAAACTGACAGTCACAGTTGCACAGTTGTTGCTAACTTCAATGCCAACATGTACAACACGTGAGTGCTGCTTTAAAACTCTTGTTTAATATGCTATAAATGTAAAGATGGCATAGAGATGCTTAAAGTATAAGGAATGATTAACAGCATTTGCTAATACAGCTACAAATGGTTATGCTAAAAATATGCTTTGAAAGGAATAACAATAGGCTAGGAGAATTATTGCACTACTTTGAACAATTCAGTTCGTTGCTGTTGTGTATCATTGATACATTCTAATGCCTTTGCCAGTCAGAGTTTACATCCTCAAATGAAATTCCTAATTTTTTTTTTAAGTATATATCTACATGAAAGGGAATACCAAAAAGCATAAAACCTAACACAATTATTATCTTTATGCTCTTTTTCTGTACTCTCTTCCCTGGGTAAAACAAACCAATAAAATCCTTGAATTTGTATGTATTCTATGTTTGGGGTCACTGAAATGCCTCCACATGGAGCCTGACTTCTGTGTCTAGAAGGTGGATGAAACCCTTTGCAGTCTAGTGAAGACTTACAAAACGGAGAGGATCATGTAACTGCTTAGTATTACACATGTCCTTGTCTGTCAAAATCACTTCTGCAAGCATCATCAAGCTGCACAATGATTTTTTTTCAAAATGAAGATCTGCTTTTAATATCAGTGGTAGAGGCTGTATTTTAAAGATACCTCTCAGTAGCAGACTTAACTGTTTTTGACATTTAAACTCAGAGTCCGCATGACTTCAAGTATTCGTTTATGCTATTTTAACATGAAATATTAAAATATTCTGAAACAAGTAAAAAAGTCACATTGACAGTATTATTTTCTGTAACAGTTCCTATGCTTTAGGGCATGTTAGCAAAAAGTGCATTAAAAACATTTAAATCTATTACCCAGTTCAAGCTTATTGCTTCCAATTCAGAATCGATTTTCCCCTACTCTTTCATGTTTATTTTTTGTGTTAATTAAAATGAAGGGGGGGAAAATAGCCAATGAGAGACATAAGACAAATCTCTTTTTTTAAAGTTCATTTAGCAAAGCAGCAGCAAAATGCCCTAAATTGCCAAGCCCCTTCACCAGCCCAGCCAGGGAGGACTTACGTGCGTGCCGCGCTCTGTGCTTGTGAGGTCTGCTGTGATCCCTTTCCGAGCGTGGATCTTCTCCCTGCTCTGTGCCTTCTGATGAGACTGCAAAGGATACCAGAGAAGGAGGTGCTTCTGACTGCCCTCCTTCCACTGGAGAATCCACATACCCCTTTCCTGTCTGAAGCCTGCACCCTTCCGTCTTCTGCCTGTCAGAGCAGTCGAGGATCACTTCCACTTGGGGCAGTCCTAGGTCTCTTGCCTCCCTCCCTGGGATCACTTTCAACTCTTTGCTGCTGGAGATCTGGATTATCTTGCTGGACCTCAGAGAGGGGTCCCTTTTCTCATTACTGGGGACCGAATTTATGTGGACAATCCCATCATGCCGTAAATTAGTGTCTGAGTCAGGAGACTTGCATTTTTCAGCTCCCAGGAGAGTCACTGCAGGAGCACTAGTGGCCTTGTGTCTCTCCTGTGAAAGGGACAGCTGTAGCTCTACCACAGGGCCTGGCCGCCCCGTTTCTGCCTTTTCCCGTAAGATAACCTCATCTGCCAAGTGTCCTCTTTGGGATTCAGGCATTTGGGGAGCCATTTGGTAACTCAGGTCAGTTTCTTCTTTGGCGCACCCTGAACAATAGGGACCACCTCCTTGGTCCTCAGCTAGAAAAACTCCACTCTTGACTGGGGCAACGTAGAACTCTCTGTACTGGGTCTTTGTGGCTGGTCGAATCTGCAGTGTAGTACTTTCCACATACCCCTCATGTGTGAGGGTCTCCTGGTTTTCGTTTTCAGTTTCAGAGACCAAAGTCTCATTTATTCCACTGGATGGTCTGCGCATAGAAAAATAATACCAGACAGTTAAATCAGAGGGTGTTACACCTGCCAAAGAATTTCCTGACACTTTTATGATGTCTACTATAAGAGACAGTTGAAATTTTTCCTCCTAAATGCCAATTGCAATATATTTAAAACAAAAATTGGCCACATATTCAGATTATTTACAAATCTTCCAAATAAACTTTTCCTTAAAGTACATCAAAACATGCTTACAAAAGATTACCAAACCTAAAATTCTCAGCTTTTATTCCTTAAAAAGCATATGACGTACTTTATCTGTAAGTTATTTGGGTGTTTCCAAGTAGCTGTGCCTGTTTTAATATGACAAAGCATTTCAATGTCTTATGACTAACTCTCTGAGTTTTGGTCTGGACATTATAAAGTCACATAAACATATTCAGCAGCTTCATAACAATCTTAGCATACACATAATTCAAGCAATCCTTTTAGAGGCTGTACTTTTGTGAAAGGAATGAAATAGAAGCTGTTTTTAAAGCTCCACTAAGCATGTGTTTTGTAATAAGTGGACCCCAGCCCAGTACTCTTGTGTAAAGAGAAATCTTTTCCATGCTGCAATGAATCATTAAGTCATGGAGTATTTATAATCTGAGATGTCTCCCTTTCTCCTATTCAAACCTGTCTCTTGGAGCATTTTCATATTAGGATCTCTGAAACCAAACTGTTCCTTTATCTCTCAGCTAAGGAGCCTACAGCTGTTCCCCCCACAACCCTTTGTTTTGGACCTTAACCATTCCCAGCTGGTTTTGCAAATTTGGGTTTGGGAGAAGAGGAAATGTCAGTGTAGGGGTTAAAAACTTCTTTCTAAAATTCTAATTTAATTATAAATGCTTTTGGAAGAAAAACATCATCAAAGAGCAGCTGTGAGAGATGGTCTTCATTGCTTACATTTGTAAGTTTGTTTTAAGAAGCAGCAGTGTGACTGTCTCTGCCCCTGTTCTCTTCCTCAAAATGCACACTGGCTAATGCAGGGATCATCAGTTAAAGGGAGTGAGTCCTTACTTTTATTCTTCTTAGACAAACTTACCTAAGAATTTATGTGGTAGCAGAATTTCAGAGCAATGTTCAAAATATTTACTCGTAACTTTGCTTTTGACTACATTTTTTTTTGGGGGGTGGGGGTGGAGCACTAAACTAAACAAAAATCTGACAACCAAATAAAGGCAACTTTCTGCATGCAACTAATCTGTAAAGATTCCTGGTAATATACTATTAAAAAATCATAGATATTCCACAAGGTGTAGGTGATGACAACAAATTAGATCTTTCTTACATAGGAAATTGTTGATATGCTCTATTAAACAGAATTCAAGGGTACTAAAAGGTCAGAAAGTTTTAATTTAAGAAGCCTTTGGAATGGAAGTGGTTTAAATCACTTTGAATTATGTTAGCTATTAATTATGAAGCTAAGAATAGTCTGAATTCATTCCAGCTTTATAAACTTGAATACAGGCAAATGGGCCAGATAAATGTTAACATTTATTAGTAGCCAAAGTAGAGACAACATACATGAATAATGATCAGAAAAGCACTGGAGAGAGAGAGAGAGAAAGAGAGGTTAAAGCTTCATACATTACAAAGCTCATTTATCTTCAGTCTATATATAGTACTTAATACCACAATTTATATGTCATACTATTTTTTATTTTTCTATCTTATAATTTTAATAACATATAAAATAATAGGAAGTGTTCAAAGGTTCTTTTAAAATAGTCTGACCCAGTTATCTCCGGACAATAGTCCAGGAAAAATAAAGTGCTCATCGTCTACTGATAGGTGACAGCTATGAAATAAGTAAAATATTTCATTTCAGGAAACATTGTTCAGATATCCAGACTGAAGATGGTGATGATGATAATGATTGTCTATGGGCTAATTTTTATTTGCAATTCCATTTTGAATATCAACAAATAATTTTTTATTTTGTAAAAAATTAAAATTACTTAGAAGAAAATAATAACCATATTTCCAGTATTTAAATAGCAGAGAATTAGTTGATAACTTTATTCAGGTAAAGGTATACTAAGAGTCAGATTTAAATCAGCAAGGATTTTTCTTCTCTCACTGAAAGCCATCAAATTCAAAACAAGAATTAGTAGGTGTGGTAGTTCAGTTTTTGTGTCAACTTGGCTGGGCCTGGTTGAGTGGCTGGACAGCTGGTGGTAGTTATTCCCCATGATGAGACTGGCAATCAACTCCATGGTGGAATCTACCACAAGCAGCTGAGTAGCTGCCTTTGGGATGTGGTCTGCTTCCTGTATATAAGGAAAAGCCTTGGGCATGGTCTCTAGCCTATGGCATGCTTGGACCCTGCATGTAGCTGTGTCATTGTTCAGCAGACTGCCATGCTCTGCTGACCTTGGGACTTACAATGGACTTAAATTAATGGCCTGCTGTGTGGTTCTGTAACATCAGCACTGTGCCTTTTTACTTGTCAACCTTGGGCTTGGCAGCCAGCAGCTGTCTGAGTGAAGAAAAGCCTCTAGCTTCAGTGGCCTAGGAGCTGGGCTGGGAGCCCAAGCCTGAGGGGCTTTCACCCAGCCCCTGGAGCTTGGCACTTTGAACTTGGACTTAAAGCGTCCAAACTCTAAGAGAATAAACTCCTGTTTGTAAAGGCCATCCAATTTGTGGTATATTCTTGTCAGAGTGGCACTAGGTAACCAGAACAGTAGGGAACATGCCAGATGACAAATATGTTCCAAAGAGGTTGGTCTCATTAAATCAGTAAAGACATTAACAAAGAAATAATTTTAGAAAGGGATTTTCCCCAAGTTTGGATATCCCTCAGGTCCCTGGAGAAGGATATAATTCTTGGTAAAATAAAGGGTTAGTGAAAAAGGGGAAGATCCTCAATGAGATGGATTGACACAATAGCTACGATGATGGGGTCAAGCACAGCAAATAGTGTGAGGATGGCGCAAGACTGGGCAGTGCTTCATTCTACTGTATGCAGGGTTGCCATGAGTCGGAGCTGACTTGATGGCACCTAACAACAACACAATGATGTTTACAAAGATGTTGTTGTTGTCATTTTTAGGTGCCATTAGGAAGGCTTCAAATACTTCCCAGATGTATAATTGATAATAGCAAATACTGACTACACTTGGCAATACTGCTGTTACCAAAAACGAAACTGTCCTCTACCATGGGACAAAGTAGAACTGTCCCGAAGGGCTTGCAAGGTTGTAAATCTTTACCAGAGAAGACTGACTCTTCTTTCTCCCACAGAGTGTCTCGTGGGTTCAAACTGCTGATCTTTTGGTTAGTAGCCAAATGTCTTAACCACTGCTCCATGTTGTTGTTGTTGTTGTTATGTGCCATCGAGTCAGCCCTGACTCATAGCGACCCCTCCTTGGGTTTCCCGAGGCAGTATCACTACGGAAGTAGGATTGCCCAACCTTCCTTCCGAGGAGTGGCTGGTGGGTTTGAACCGCTAGCCTTCTGGTTAGCAGTCAAGTGCCTTAGCCACTATGCTATCAGCACTGCTCCATGTTAGGTCCCCTTTAAAAGCAAGTAGCACCTTTATAAGTAAGTAGGACTTCAAGACCTTGAACACTGGACTTGATAGGTAAATATTTAGATGAGAGAGTCCACGGATAATGCTAGATTTCCTCTATTTTCATATGATGGTGACCATAGTGAGTTCATGTTTATATAGAAATGGAATTACACTAAATGATTATCAGAGGGGTAACGCTGCAAGTAAGGAGTCCTGGTGAAACAAAGGTTAAGTGCTTGGCCACTAACGTAAAGGTTGGCAGTTAGAATGCACCCTGTGGCTCTGCAGGAAAAAGACTTGGTGATCTGCCTCCATATAGATTATAGCTAAGAAAACCCCATGGGGCAGTTCTACTCTGTCACACGGGATTGCTACAAGTCAGAATCAACTTGCTGACATCCTATAACAACAATGCTGCAGGTAACATTTCTGCAGAGTTAAGGCAAGTCTCTGTAGCCTGCGAGATGGCTCTGAGATTCTATAGGAGATGTCCTCTGACATCCTCCTGAAGGTTGTACTCCAGGACGCCAGAGCTTTCTTTTCTGGATTCATTATATTTCATTATAATCAGTATAATGCAATGATATGGTAGCAGGGCCTCATTTGCAAAGCCATTGTGGACTGTACTTGGATTTATACTGTAAAAATGTTGATGTTATAATTTTTTTGCTGTTCCCCTCATTACTATTTTCATGTTTCAAGTTTACTTTTGCATTCTAAAATAATCAATTAGGGTGGGTGACATTTGGAGAGATTGAGTTGACAAATGACTTTCACTAATAATCCAAAAATTTTATTCTAACCATCTGTTTCTGCCTATCCCCAAATATTGGTTTTAGTGGAAGTTCTGGCAAGCAGAAGATATTTTTAATTATTTTTCTTTTCCAAAGCATTTTTTTCTATGAAAAAATCATTGCACATTGTAATACAAGCATTTTTGTTGATTGTTGTTATGTGGCGTCAGGTCGCCTCTGACTTACAGCAACCCTGTGTACAATAGAATGAAATACTGCCCAGTCCTGTGCCAGCCTCATGATCCCTACTATACCTGAGACCATTCTTGCTGTTCACCACTGCAGCCACTGTGTCAATCCATCTTGTTCAGGGCCTTCCCCTCTGTTCCAGTTGCCTAGTGCCGCTCTGACAGGAATATACCAAAAATGGGATGGCCTTAACAAACAGGAGTTTATTTTCTTACAGTTTGGAGGCTTTAAATCCAAGTTCAAAGTGCCTGGCTCTAGGGGCTGGGTGAAAGCCTCTCAGTCTTGGGCTTCAGCTCTGCCTCCTGCTCCTGGCCCACTGAAGCTAGAGGCTTTTCTTCACTCAGACAGCTGCTGGCTGCTGAGACTGACAAGTCCAAGGTTGACTAATTAAATGGCACAGTACTGATGTTACCAAACCACATGGCAGGCCATTAATTCAAGTCCACTGAAAGTCCCAAGGTCAGCAGAGCATGGCAGGCTGCTAAACAATGACATAGCTACATGCAGGGTTCAAGCATGCCATAAGCTAGAGCTCATTCCCCAAGGGTTCTCCTTATATACAAGAAGCAGACCACAGCCCTAAGACAGCTACTCAGCTGCTCAGAGTAGATTCTACCATGGAGATGATTACCAGTTCCATCATGGGGAATACTACATCCAGCTCCCCAGCCACTCAACCAGGCTCAGCCTGGTTGATGCACAAACTTAAGCACCACACCCTCTTTCGCTGACCCTCCACTTTACCAAGCATGACATCCTTCTCCAGAGAATGGTCCCTTCTGACAACATGACCAAAGCAGGTGAGATGAAGTGTGGCCATTTGTGTTTCCAAGGAGCATTCCAGCTGCACTTCCTCCAGGAAAGATTTGTTAGTTGTTTTTTTTTTTAGCAATACAGGTATACCTTTAGTAATACTGGCATACCTCATTTTATTGCACTTTGCTTTATTGAACTTTGCAGATATTGCACCTTTTCAAAATTGAAGGTTTATAGCAACCCTGCATCAAGCAAGTCTATTGGTGCTATTTTTTTTTAAATAGCGTGTGCTCACTTTGTGTCTCTGTGTCACATTTTAGTAATTCTGACAATATTTCAAACTTTTTCATAATGCAGAAAGTGTTGAAATATTCCACAATTTAAAAAAATCAGGGCTGATTTTGTGGCTTACAGATCTGTTTACCTCTCTCAAATAAAAATTTCTCAGAGATGGTAGTATGGTTCTTACAAGTTATATAATTCTAACTATTGCCTCATTTTTCACTCAGACTTGAAGCCAGGGCAAAGCCTCTGGGTCTGCTTAGAGGAGGCAGGTATTCCCCAGTTGTGTTTTGAGTGCCTTCTAACCTGAAGGGTCATCTTTCAGCACTATATCAAACAATGTCCTGCTGCAATTCATAAGATTTTCACTGGCCACTTTTTTCAGAAGTAGATTGTCAGCTCCTCTTTCCTAGTCTGTCTCATCTGGAAGCTCTGCTAAAATCTGTCCACCATCTGTGACCCTGCTGGTATTTGAAATACCGGTGGCATAGCTTCCAGCTTCACAGAAACACGCAAGTCAGCACAGCATACAAACTGCCAGGCAAGTTCTCAACTAACCATAATGTTCAATTGATTATAATTGTTCATTAAAAACAAAAACAAAAACAAAAACACCACTTTGTTGGTTTTCAACTATACTGACTTTGTTCAAAGCACCTCCGATTCCCCCATAAACAAGAAGTCATGTATGTAGCAGAAACTATCATTGTTTCCATCTATTAACATGACAAAATATATATTCTGACAAATGTTTTCTACCTTTTTATAAGCATTTGGAGAGAGTCTGTTAAGCTTTCCATGAGCTTGATGACTTCAGGGTAGGTCAGGTCTGCGCAAGGATTTCCATTGATAGAGATCACTTCATCCCCTTCACAGAGCCCAGACCCAGAGGCTTTGCTCTGGCTTCGAATCTGAATAAAAAATGAGGCAACAGTTAGAAGAATATAACTTGTAAGAAATATACCACCATCTCTAAGAAACTTTTACTTGAGAGAGGTAAATTGATCTATAAGCTACAAAATCACCTCTGATTTTTTAAATTGTGGAATATTTCAACACTTTTTGCATGTGTGATTCCACATTTACCTTTGATTCATCTGTTAACCTATAAGGCCATCTTCAACATTTCTTCCTCTCTCTCTCTCTCATACACACACAACTTATTATTTACCCAAACCTCAAAATCTAATTTGTAATATTATAATTAAAGAAACAGAAAATAAGTTGATAGTAAATTAATTAGCACAGAGGAAAATATGGGGAAGGCATTAGATGTTTGAATTGTTTGTACATTAAATACTTATTTCACTTCAAATGTAAAGTTTGACCCCAATCAGAAAATGACTTCATCCAAAATATGTTTTAAAAGCCCCTCCCAATGCCAAGGTACATACAACGCTGTGCCTATGAGAAAGAGATGTAGGCCCAAATTTAAGGATAAAACTGTAGAAGTATTTGAACTGATACAAGACATCCCATAATAATGAGGAAAGCAGACAGATAGGGTATTAGAAAGTATGTCAGAGAGAAAAAAAATCATCTTAAATGAACTACTGAAGACTTGGTATTAAGCAAACTTTAGCAAAAATGACAGAAGTGTGTAAAAAATAAAACAGCCCTGTTATACAGATAGCATCATTCCAGCAGAGACTGGTATGGAACAACAACTAGATAAACACCTACAAGAGAACCTTCAGACCCTGGAGGAAGAGAAAGAATAATGGTAGAAGGCTCATTCCCACCAGCTTCTTAGTGATGAATAACTGTATGTTTATATCTCGAATAACTATATATTTATCTATGAGTTAATTATGATCAATATTGTGCTGGATATTCTCCATTGCTCACAGGTCTATTTTCCACCCTTCTCTGCCCTGCTTTCTTCTGAGAGAACTGGTCTTTACAGAGTTAATTAACTGGGCTCCCTTGCATTCTGGCTCCTAGTTGGATTTCAATTGGAAGTACCAGTAAGAGTTCAAAGAGGAAAGGAAATGAGAGATCAAGATATGTGTTCTCCAAGATAGGTGTTCTCCTTGCTAAAACTGCTGGACCATGGTTTGGCAATGGCTGTGTTCCTTTATTTAGAAAGTTACAGCTCCTTCCTGTTGGTTCACTTCTCTCCCACTGCCTTAACTCTTTTTAGGTTCCAATAACACACACTATCCCCTTGCATCTTTAGGCCTTGGGGTAATATAGCTTTCTGCTCTGAATCTCTGGGTGCTTCACCATCCTTTGTTGATTCCTTTAATTGTATTTAATTACTCTGTTGAGTATGTCACCTGTTTCCTGTTGGGAACCTAAGATATTAATGTGTTTAGATTTCATTTTGTAACATGAGTTCAATAGTTCTCAAAGAGATCATACAATAAGATCTCAAATTAAAAAAAAAAAAAAAACTTTAAGGTACTATTCTAGATATTTCCTACCAAGGGTGAACCCTCTTTGATTATTAACATCAAGGTTTTGGGTCCAGAGAGGTCAGATTTAGGTAATGAGCACTTCTTAAAGAATGTTTTCATAGCCAGGCTCATTTCTGATTGAGGATGGAACATATTTCAATTTTGTCTCTAATAGTTGCCATTCCTGTTAAGGTTTTAAATGATAATTAATACGCTAACTAATATAGGTTTAAAGTTTATATCTCCAACTGCATTTTTTCATTTTAAATGCTACTCTTGAAAACAAAGAATACCTTTAAGACCCAAAGTAATGATTCTATTATGAAGTTTGGAGTGATTCAGTTCATTTTGGTCTGGGGAAGTTTTTTCTTTTATTGCCATAAATTATAACTATAGGAGACCTTCACCTTTTCTGACAAATCAATCTCATTACTTTTTTGTGGAAGAACATAAGACTTTATTGAAAAATATCAAGTGAACTCAATATTTTCAAGGGTATAATGAAGCAACAAAAGCAATAAGGAAGGGAGTATTCACCTAGTTTTTTTTAACAAATCTACCTAACCGCCAAATATGTTTGTTTTATTTTACAAGATATAATTAAAATTAAGGATCATGAGAGAGTTATTAATAAGTTAAGGATAAAATGATATCCAGCAATGATATTTAAGTTAGAGTTAAAGTTATTTGTATACATTTCATTTATTTAAATTTATTTTCTTTTATAAAATAAGATTTAGCAGATAATAGAGCATATTTTTTGGAGCATAAAATCATTCATTTAATAGAATCAGATGTATTAGAATCCAAACTAGAAATTCATTCTTTGGAGGACCAAAGAGGTATTAGGTGAATAAAACAGATGTGTCATTATACTCTTTATGCCTCAAGACCCAATCTCAAATGGAGGTTCTCTTTATGAGCAATAGGTTGTCTGAGTTTTAAGCAGTTTCATGAGTTTATAGAACCAAGATAAAAATCTTGTCCTTGGACAATGGAATACTATGCTACATTAAAGAATAATGAAAAATAAGCGAATCATCTCACAACATGGATGAATCTGGAGGACATTATGCTGAGTGAAATAAGTCAATCACAGAAGGACAAATATTGTATGAGCCCATTACTGTGAAATGTCAAGGAAAAGGTTTGCTTAGGGAAGGGAACTCATTTTGTAGGTTACCAGGGATGGGAGGGAAGGAGAGGGGATAATTTCAGACTGGTTGGAGCCACATATTGTGTTGGGAAAGAGAAGGCACAGTATGGAAAGAGTCTGTGACCAGCATGATACCATTGGGGAAAGGGAGGACACTGAAATATGTCCATATGATATGGACAACAGAGGCTAATACCAGTATATGCACAATACTGCATTACCACTAACACCAAACACCCAGCTATAGATAAATGCATAGACAACTGAGAAGATGAGATGGGGGTCAGCAAACAGGAATGTACCCTAGACGAATGATAGATTTAGCTGAAGATAATCTTGCATAGATGCTAGTGATAGAAAATAACCACAGTAATTACAGAAAAAACAGAAGACAGAATTGGAGTAATCCCTCAGAGACAGCCAAACACCTTGGGAGAGAGAACCACCGATCTGCTGACTCAGGACCATATTATTGGGGGACACTGTGCTCAATTGGCACAACATAATACATAAAAATCTTGTTCCACAACCTACTTTGGTGACTAGCGACTGGGGTCTTAAAAGCTTTCCAGCAGCCATCTAACACACAGCTAATGGTCTTCTCTCGTCTGAAGCGAAGAAGAGTGAAGAAAATCAAGAGCATTTGGAAACAATTACTCAAAGGATATAATGGACCCCGAGACCAGAAGAACAAGATGGTGCCCAGCTACCAGTGCCAACCACTCATGAAGGGATCAAAACTGGAGATCCTGGATAGAGTGGGAGGAAAAACATGGAACAAAATTCAAAAACACAATAATGACTAGAATTATTGGTCAGATGGAGTCTGGTGAGACTCCAAGACTATGGCCCTGGGATACACTTTGGGCCTGGGATACAACTCACTCCCAAGGGCTGGCTCTCAGCCCAAAAGTAGAAACAATTACATGCAGAACACCCAACTCAGGGCAATGCACCCACCTACTCTACAGAGATACCCCTGTTGGAGCAATCAGCCATAGGGCACCAGAGGGGCAGCATTCACATGGAGGGAAAGCTGGACAGACAGGACTGCATAGTTAATAAGAGCACAGGGAGAGGGAGGTCACAGGGAAGGGAGGCGAAGAGAGTGGGTTATGGATGGGAATAGTAATAGGGGAGTGAAACCAAATGTACATGAACTGTTGAATGTGTAACAAATATTGCTCTGTAAATTTGCACCCAAAGCACCAAAAAAAAAAAAAAAAAAAATTGTCCTTGGAAAATAAATCCCCAACTTAACAGAGCTGTCTATCATCCAAACATTTGTTGCTTGACGGGAACAATGCAGTTCATCATTATGCTTGTCAAGCGGAGCTTTTAATGGTATCCAAATAAGCAAAGGCATCATGATAAGAGTTGTTAGCATTCCCTTAGACAACATATTCTAGGTCAACATTCAGAATCAAGTACTGTGATTGTGTTTTGCTGACCTGTGCATTTGCCCGATTAGCAGCAAATAGTTTCCCCTAAAGAACCTTGTTAAATTTTGTAGTACTTTCCTTCCTACAAAAGTTTTTCTGGAAAAAACAAATTTTTCTCCATTTTTAGTGGGACAATTCAACCAAATAAAGATGGTAGGAGAGGGCCTATCAGGGCTACACATATCCCTTGCAATCACCAACCACCAATATAGTTCTGGTCATAGATATATCATGAAGGATGAACATTTATTAATGCACATAAAATCTTTACCTCATAATGTGTATAATTATATACTTTAGTATACTTGTGCATTATTATGCATATTAATACAGGAGGCTTGGTGGTACAATAGCTAAGTGCTCAGCTGCTAACTGAAGGCTGATGGTTCTAATCCACCAGAGGCAATCTGCTTCTGTAAAAATTACAGCTTAGGAAACTCTATGGGGCAGTTCTACTCTGTCAATAGGGTTACTATGAGTCAGAATTGACTTGGCAGCACTTAATAACATAAAAACAATGTGTATACAGGTAAAAACTCTAACCTCTAAAAACATTCTGATTTGTGAAAATAAAATATGCTGTCAGTAATAAGAGTAAGTAAATTGATCATACAAGTGACCATGACAATGCTGAATCTCTCATCAGTCACCTGTGTGGCTCCATTGCCCATGAGCTGTCTGACCTTAGATGAGTTTGATATCAGTCTTAGGTTTAGTTTTCTAAAACATAAAATTGAAGCTAATAAATTTTATCTATGAAAATGATGTGGAGAGATTGGAACTCTTGTACACTGCTGGTGGGATTGTAAAATGGTACAACCATTGTGGCAAACAGTATGATGTTTCCTTAAAAAACTGAAAATAGAAGTACCATTTGACCCAGCAATTCCATTACTAGGAATATATCCTAAACA